ATTTTCACCACCTGGCAACCCGCGGCGGTGAAAACGAAGGCCAAAAACTCGCAGAAAGCGGTACTTTGGGATGATTGTTGAGACTCCTCTGAACAGTGAACAGTTTGTGTTGTTTTCTCGAATTTTCACCGGCTCGACCAGTGTTCCATAGCAGCGCGCACATAGCCCATAGAAATGCATGGTGCAGTGGTGCGCGTCTTAGCAACGTGAAACATCTGTGATACGTAAAACGGAACCCATATCAAACAGAGCGCGATGTGACGATGGTGGCGCTTTACCTTCGGATATCTGTTCTGTGATTATTGAGGCTACAATTATTTGTCCTTACCATTAACCTTTGCTGCTTTATTCGCCAGAGTCACAAAATTCTCGTACATATCTTTCATTTCAGGTCCAGTTTCTCTACGCCAACCTTCCCATGCCCATTTCAACTCATCATAGTCACGACTGGTTGCCATTAGTCTCGTGAGATCTGAAAAATAGTAAACTTTCTGAGTTGTAACTTCAATAGAACTTCAGACTCAAATGGCCGCCAAGATAGAAAGATAGCTACGAGACTACTACGAGAATTGTATTCAATTTTTATCAGTTATCGCGTCCACAAATAACTAGCATGGTTATAGCTGGGGAGTCGTCATCTGCGCATGCGTCAGAAGGCCATAACGTATTGTTTTTTACCCACGATTCTTCGCGCTTTTAGCATGTGTTGTTATTGTCGCTTGGGACTCTATACCCGCGCGTGCGCAGGTTACGACCCCTCCAAATTAAAGGGAAGGGTAAACGCGTTGACCTGCGAGAATAGAACAAGCGGGGGAGGGTTAATAACAAGTCTTGGGTCTCTTTAAGTTTGGGAAAAGTATAGAACACGACAAACTTAGAGGTGATGCGAGAGCGTGACCCAAATCAACTCCCCGATGTCCGTCGGTGTCATATTCATCTTCATCTCCTACAATGATTGCTTTAATTAATTTGAACCGGGATGGTTGTCACCTGCGCACGCGCGGGAATTGAGTCCCAGGCGACGATAAAAACACACACTAAAAACGCAAAGGCTCATGGGTAGACGCTTGTTTGTTTACAATGACACGCTATGGCAATCTGACGCATGCGCAGGTGACGAATCTCCCGCTTTAAAGTACCAAGCAAGGTCAACCTAATATTCTCTTAAAAAAATCATTGTCCAATTTCTACCATCTGTTGATACTGACCACTCAGCCCTGTGAAGCCATGGCCACACCTGATTCACGAATTCACCGTTGAATTCACTGCTGAACAATACACCAAACTTTTGTGGAAACGGCGACTTATGGCGAGCGACACTATGACCTGTCTCTCATTGTTACAGAAATTCAATACCTGCAAAGTCGTCGCTGATTGGCTACTGACGCTGTCAATCACTTGGCCCGTGGTTACATATATTACAATACTGACCTTATTCTACAGGTTGATAAGTCGATTAAAGTACTGACCTGGATCCAGGGGTATGCAAATTGATTCACTTTCGCACACTTTCGCTGTTGAGTATATCTGCTCCATATCAGCTAGGATGTTTTCATACTGAGTAAAGAAATAACAATAAAACAAACCAATCCTGCCCAAGACGCAAGGATTTCATTGCGACTCCTCGCGCTGACAATTTATTTTTAATCATGGCAGCAAACTATTTTCAATATAAAGATGGGGAAGCGATAGTTTACATGGCGTATGTAGGTTGTCGCGCGCCCTCTTCAGTTGTTACATGAAGTCAACATGGCGGTCAATAATGAGAGAAAATACTTTGCTGCTTTAGCGATAGCTCTCAATTTCCTATTTTGGTGAATTTTTAATGTTGTGATTAGTTAAACATTAACTCAAATAACCCCTGAGAAATACATTTTCAGACGTAGTAGCCACGTTTACACATCGATACTTGAACGAGGCAAGAACGTCGCTTTATCACAATTCATCTACTACTTGTCATTATTATGTGCTCTACTGCAAGAATGGTCGCTCCTGCTCTAAGTTATTCACAGCATTCGGTGTCACCGCTTCTCGCGTACACGAAACTACTGTAAAAGGTTAATTATTCACTGGGTTTTAATTTTGCTTTTTTCGCTGACTGGAAAAATGCGCTAAATTAAAACCCAGTAAATATGTAAAATTTAGCATGGAACACATTATCTAAATGATAAAACGGTGAATTTAAAACCCACTGAATATGCCTGAAATGGTAAATCAGGGAAATTTAAACCCAGTAAAAATTTGTCATTTTACAGTATGTAAAATTTATCAGGATATAGTAATACTTTTAAATAACAATAAACAACAACAATTCGGGAATTTAGAAGACAAAATGGCGGATATGTCTACGATACGATGACGTACTCGGACAACGATAAACTTGCATGCAAATTTCATCATCAACCTACTGGATTGGTTGATACGTATTCACTCAACAGGCGCGCATGCGCAGTTATGGCGAAATATTCCAGAACTTGCACTTGTAAAGCGCCATGGTCGTCTCGCAACGCGCGTTTAAATTACGTGAAAAACAAACAATCTATTTTACACGAGTTGTATACGTCACATGCGTACTCGACGGGATAAAATACTATAAAGATTAGAATTGATTATTACACGCCTCAGTTATTATGAACTCACTTCTATCAAATCGTCCCCTTCCAATGCAGACGATCCGATGTAGTAGATCTTCTGAAGCTGCCTCATCACATCCGGGTCAAAATTAGTCCAGTCGAACTTTGACACGTTGGCACGGGCCTCTAAATCAAATGCTGCGGATTTCAGACTTTCTTGAACCTAACAATAGAAATATAATAAATTATGTTAATGTTATAATGGTTTAGGCATGTTCGATTCTGATTTTCGCTCTATAGGGACGTCGTCACCTGCGCACGCGCGAGAATTGAGTTCCAAGCAACGATAACAACTCGCGTTAAACGCAAAGGTTCATTGGTAGACGTGTGTTTGTAAACAACTACACGCCATGGCTGTCCGGCGCATGCGTAGATGACGACTTCCCCGATTTCACTGCGCGTCTACTTTGCGGGTGAGTGTCGGCTGGTATTTAGTGCAAGACAAATAGAAGGGATGAAAGATCCAGTGAAAAAAAATACATCCTTTCACTATACAGACCCTTATCTCTAACCATAATTTCCCCCCTAGTATTGCTTAATTCAATTATTTACAATTATGTTGTATGTAATTAAATATGAGATTCCTATGGTGGGACTTTTGCAAACTTATTTTACGCCAATGCTTATCTATTGTTATTTAATTAATGATTATTACTATTTGTTATTCATAATTCGTCTGGATTTTCTTTATTCGGGATTCGTGAATACCCTAGCTCGCTTTAGTTGCAGTCATGCACCAATCACAAGATTGGTTACAAACCAGAACGGGGTCACGAATCAATTCTGGGAGTCAAACACAAATCACGCGGCTTTCTAGCTTTCAACGAGATTGTGGCGGCCATTTAAATTTTGACCCTATTGTAACATAATCCAGCAAAGATTTGTCGATCGACGCATATTGAAATAATCAGTTTACTGCATAGCAACGGTCCGTTGACTTTACCTGAAAGTGAAGGTATACATACTGGTACATGTATAACTAAATTATTTAGACCAGAAAGATTACGTATTATTGTATCCACGATCGGCTTTGGTGCTTTTTGATGTGGTGAGGAAAGCAATCTCTGGCAGTTTGTCACTTCTGAATGCATATTATGCGTTAACAGCTCTGCGGCTAGACTGACATGTAGGCGTGAGTAACGCCCTCACCGGCCGAACAGCATCAGTTCAGAGCACCGCGAACAGCGCGACCTACTTAGGCTTCTGTGCAGCTTAGCGACTATCTGCTGTTCAAACATTTATATTACAGCTATATATGTCGTAAAGATAAATAATAGCTCTGTAGTTAACCCTGCAGTTAATAAAGTGGCGGCGGCACGGGGGCAGACGGGACGAAAACAATGTTGGAATCAAGCTGAAACCCTTTCTGTCAGAAGAATTTGCCCCTCAAAATGCAGGAAATAGTTTTTCAGAAGGTCTATATTTGAAATTTGTCAAGGGGGAGCATGTCCGGAGCATCTCGCCCCCCATGCAAAATTTGGTGTCGCCGCCTCCTCTGTAATACCTTTGTTATTTGGATTTTAGTTCCTCATTCCTGGGTCTCATAAAACTGGCAAAACTATGTAAACACTTGAAAGGCAGGGTAGTTTTAACACATAAGTTACGTTCACGCTATCACGTTCCGGGACTGATCTCAGTACGCATCGAAATTGTTAACCCTTCGTGTTTGGAAATGAATTGCAGCTGCAGTTGCGTTCACGCTAGATGGGACCTACATCGGACCTACACTCGGCTTGTACCAAAATCATGCCCCGGGCGTAGATTTGTCATTTGACACAAAACATGGCATACGATACACACATTACGATAATGGTAATTAGCTTATTGAAAGCATATATATTTGCTATTATCACTGTGCACATGAATGGCGAAGAATAATTCGAAAAAAGTTTTACGTCCATTGTAGAAATGCAAAAATAAATCGATTGCAGCAGAACATAACTCTGTCCCAGGCGATACACCGTACTAAACGGGGAGCCAGCTGAGGAAAGTGTCGGATACGGTTGACTCACCACAACACTGACTTATTTTGAAATGCTTATACACCAAGCGTTTATATTGTTTATGAGTAAATCAAAAGACTATTTGCAAAATAAAAAAATGAAGACTTTGACATACTTGGAGGAAAAAATCACTAATAATAACCGTCGGATCCCTTCATTTTAAAAGGTTCAAACTTCATCCTATGTACATTCCGTTAAACAACATTTTTGTCTCCCATCCCGTTATATAAGAGGTTATTGCTGATCCGATTTTCAATCCGCGAAATTGTGACGTCATCTTAAAAACATGAAAAAAAAAAAGAAAATAAAACCGTTTGGCAATATAACTGATTGAAATGTGGAAAATAATATTGTTCCTGTTTTTCACCAGTAATTTCATACATTCATCGGTGTGTTTGGTATTACAATCTTTCACGCGGACGTAGTCCTCTTTATTTTTTCAACTTCGCGCGCGGAATTTTGTTTCCCGATGTATCTTTTATCGCATTTTAATAAAATGTGTAGAAAGCCAGTGATACAATTTGTTCTCTGGTCTTTTCATTTTAAAGCAATTTTATACGTCTAAAATAATTCTTAGCTAAAACAACTACCAATATATTTACCAACGCTTGTGAGATAACCTTATTTGCTGTAGTGACACCATGCTGGAACAGCAGCAATAACTTTATTACAGAAAATTATGTTGTCATTTTAAAAATATATCTAACATAATATAACATCTGAATAAAGAAAACATGGCAATTATTGGCTAGTGTAATTTCCGATCGTTGTATACATCGCCATGACGATCAACAAAGCGCTGTAAACTGAACATAACTGTTATATTGGACAGTTTTCTCCTTCGGATGAGTGAAGTCGCTGTCTGAAGTGGGGGTGGGGTGTCAGAAATACAATAACTCGAGTACTTTAGCGGCGAGTACGCAGAACCTATTAGCAAAGAGGAATCAGCCTCGGCATATGAAAAAGCACATGGCAATATGATTAACGGGCGACACAGTGTCAACCTAGTGAGTCGAGACTGCGAAGCAAGCAGTATGCTTTACGGAGAAGTTGATGTGAGTGCAGTTGACGTTAAATACTCCCGTAAATACATCATTGCATTTTCGAGCGACGATAACAATGCACGCAAAAAACGCAAAAGCTCATGGGTAGACGATTGTTTCTAAACAACGACACGCTGGGGACGTTTACCCCATGCGCAGGTGACGACACCCTCACTTCAACGGGCGTCTGTCTCAGTGCCCTTACATGTGTCAATAAATAGTTTATCTGACCAATTTGTTTGCGTGTGTTTTAGTTGCTAAGAACGTGTTTTATTTTTCCTAATCTGATTTGGTACTTATGCAAACATATTGAGATAAGATTATAATTTATCTGCTCATAAACCTACTTTAAACAACAAACTTATTTACATTTTAATCTTTATGAGATTTTTAAGTATGAGTATTTCTCTATAATGTGCTGTTCTTATTTTTTTTAACATTTAAACATTATTTAACAATAGCGCAATTGTTCAATTGCGCATACCAACCGACACAGGTATTCACCCCGTTGCAGGTAAATCATGGGAAGGGGGTTAGAATATTTACCCACACATTGGCAAATACCTCCCCACAAACGTATGTGTGTGTGTGGGGGGGGGGGAAGTATCCCGGTACGCGTGTATTATGAAGAGACGCGAATGCCTGCCCACAAACATATAGTATTGGGGGGGGGGTATCTACCCCGACATATGTATGTCATTTGAGAGAGCTTTCTTTCTATACAGATTATAATTTTCCAAATATGGCCTTCCCGAGTGTCTGATCATGATAATGGGCCACCGTATTTGAGTTTATTTTGAATTTAAAGTGTTTATAAAACAACAACGAGCAAAACATACATGCACGACTGTTGCGTACTGTGACTTAATTTTATATATCAATAGAAACATTTTGAATATTCCAGTCTCAACACCGAGCCGCGAAAAACGTTGGCCACAACAGCTCCTCTTGATCGAAGTAGTTGACGTACTTAAGAAGGTGCTTGATTGAAAGTCTTAAATATGTTTTAACTTAACATTGTTCCCCGCTCGTGTTCACAAAGCAGGTGTTACTTGCGTAGTTAATTTCTATCCGAGTGAATAGTAACAGACCTCAGACGTGAATGGCCGCCGTGACCTTTTTGAAATTTAACAAAATACTAGTACACCTTATCTTACAATTTCGTTCGGGTACATATGGTGAAAATTAGTATGTAGTTATTCTGACGCAAATTATGTTTTTTTATTTTTTTCCTGAAAAAAGTTCGTACTGTGTGAAGATGCATGTGCAATTTTTTCTGGACTTTTTTCTTATATTCTGCAATATTTCTGGAAATGAACCCTAATTTTGGAGCCAACTCGCAAAATTTGCGGAAATTTTCAGTTTTTACTCAAACTATTTGATTATTTTTGTCCCAATCAAGGAAAGTGCAGACTATAAACGGGACTATTTTGTGAATTTGTGATGAAAAGAGGAAACTCATATTATCCGCGTACACTGAGTGACACATTTGTTCACATATGACCTCGTAACGCGATAAGCAATCTCTTCGTAAATATAATAAAAAAATAACCTCACAAAACTGTACTGAGTAATCATAATACACTCCAATCCGCCTGAAATGCCACATTCATCACCGCGTCGTGTTTGGTGTAAGTTCCATGTGATACAGGTGCACACTTTTTGTTCACACGAAATATCAATGCACGTTACATAACTACCGCGACATTCTATTGGTGGACGATAATAACATAAGACGACAAAACTTAATTGAACTTCAATTTTACGGTCGTTAAAATAATTGTTCTATGGAAAACGCACCTATTGCATGATTGGACAAAATTGACAATGCATGGCCGACAAACAGCCACACGGACGGCCCAGGATGCGAATAAAACCTTATATGGAAAGGAACAAATAAGATGGATCACCGGTTTAGTGGGAGTCGGTCTATATGACAGATATCACGTGCAGGCCGCGTTACTTGAATATGTTTTAAAGAGCGATGGTCGTCGGGCCGCGTCCTGTTCGATATGGGACTCATAGCGACGTATATAACGCGTGTAAAATACATTGTTTGTTTTCATGAAATTTGAGCACGCGCTGCACGACGACCGCCTCCCTTTAAACGAGTGAATATTACAGTTTAGTTGAATTTTCATAAATGCCGAAACGTAATCCTGTGTTGTATATGAAGATACTACCTGGCGCCCACTTGCTGTGGTCATAACCTTCGACACAGACGTCATAATATTAGGTTATCAACTTATTATTTTTCTACGGGTATACAAGTGTGTACACACGGATAATTCGTCACCGATTAGAGGGGAATTTTTCTACGTATAAATTAGACCAAATTGGATAGTTTTTGTTAGTCAATGTATATGGAAAAGGGCTACAATTTCAAAATTCTCTATGAAAAAAATGGGCCAATTGCTGAAAGTAACAGTCCCAAAATATATGTAAATGCGTTGTACACCTATTCGCTACTTCTGACGGCCGGGAAAAGCAACTCATTTGATGTTTCAAAAAGCACCAAGTTTGTGAAGAAATTTTTACAATTTTAACAATGGATTATAGAAGGCGGGTATCCCTCTCTTGCCTCAGTGACAACCACCAGCGGTGAACTTGAAAACAACGGTCGGTTATAGAAGCTCAGTTGTTTGAGAGTCTCCTAAACAGTGTAACAAGTTCACCTCTACATGTGCAACATATATAAATTTGGCTGCTCATGATCGTCTCTTATATTTGATCAGTTTGTGCTGTTTTTTCGACTTCAGTTGTTTTCACCGGCGCGACATAGAACGCTCTGTGAGGTAGGTTCCCGAGAATAAATTTTAGTTCACTTACGAATATATCCTTGTTCACATCTGTCAAGTTCGTGGCGTAGTTCCAGGACGTAGTAACATATTTGAAATACGTTTCTTGCGCAAGGGTATTGTACATAACAAGATACTCTCTGGCTTCGCCTTCATCTGTTATCAACTCGTCTTCAGCGGAGATTAGCGCGGACATTGAGAGACATGCCAAGACAATGGCAGCAGCATTCATCACGGCGTACATAGCGGCGGTAGAGTGGTGTTTGCAAGGGCTGTGGGTCTACCGGGCACTGGAGAGAAGGCGAGATTGTCGATCGAATACAGCTATAAATCATATCTACACGTATAACTGAATACGGAATGATTCGCCAAATGTGCGTTCTCTGCTAACACTAGTTATATGGCCCAGTTAAGAGCATACACTTATGTTTACTCCCAAGTCACTGTTTCCTTGACCTACTTTTCACTCGATTATGTTCTCCAAAATATCTTTCTGCGCCAGAAATTTCACTTCAGCAGTTCTAACTATTTTCACCTCGCGTGCCACTTGTCCCGCTGGTCATGATATGATCTAAGCATGCATTTCATGATACGTATCACTACGCTAAATATTTGACTACTGATGTCATACTAGTCTACTGACGCGAACCTCCGAGATTGTATTTCAGAAATCCGTCTGCGGGGTAGCCATGCTTCTCGCGCGTGCAGGACATCTGATACTACGCGTCCTTCGTAATCTGGCGAATAGGTGACGTTTAACTTTCGCTGATTTAACGAACAAACACACTTTTTATTTGCATATAATTATATATCATACCCCCGACGTCTCAGTTTTGAATTCACTGTTCTGATTGATTTAAATGACATTCGCGAACGTCGCCACGTTGGCAGTTGCTTGTGGATACCGTTTTCATTTGGCGAAAGAAAATTTTACTATGAGTCAAAGGGGATGGCAGCGAACATTTCTCTGTTGTCAAGTGTCACGGAGTGACTTTCCCTGAACTTTATCTTTGCTATAAGCCATGAAAATCACGAAGTGGCGCGAATTTCTAGCAGTGAAAATCAATGCAGATTACAATATCTGCGTTTAAAATGCCATAGTCGTCACCTAGCATGCGTTCGAATCTCGTGCAAATAAACGACGTGTTGAAACACGACTAGGCACAGTTACCACCGCCCCGTTAAACCAACAACAACGGGAGAGACGTGTTTACGGCATAACACAATAGTAATAAATTACCGCTTTCCTGAGTATACCCCTGTGTATTACACAGAAACTATCCAGATATAAATTCGCTGGCGGATGGTTTATTGCTTAAAGGACCGCGGTGGTCGTCTTCGGCGCGTGTTCGAGAGAAGCTGAATTGTTCGAGTTACAGACACGGACGGAGTTACAAAAATGACGCCTATATATTCTTGAAACCACGCCCGTTTTGAGGAACCACGTCCAAATTGTAACTCGGTGTTCAATTAACTAACAGTATGTGACAATTTCTGCTTGCAACTTTTCCAAATGAGATTTAGATCATAACAGGATCTTTATGCCTATAAACGTCCATTTGCGTTTAGTGCTAAGCTCCTTTTGCCGAGGACAACAACAAATATTTCGTTGGTGTTTATAAGCTCTCATGTGATTAGTCAATCCTTAAATAGCTCTTCCAATACTGTGATTTACTCCCTGTTAATTTTGGGTCATGCAGACAAAAGTTTTACTCTGTGGTTACGTGCAAAGGTCTGTAGGAGAATTATGATGGGCAGTGAAAAACTTTCAGTCATTCGTTAAACACAGCTAATTAAGATGTTTCGATTACAGTGAAAGGTTTTCTATACAGGTCATTGAACGCCGGGATCGAGCGTACACAATTTACTGTGGTGCCAGGAGATGGTAGGATAGAAAGTTTTTTTTCAGTTCCGCAGATTATTTAAATGGTTTAATATGATCTAATTTTGCCTATCATGATGAGTTAGCAGAACTTTTTTTTGAGCGTCCAGATTAGTAACTCCATGGTAATGTCATGAATTTGTTTTTGCGTATCCGTTAACCGACTTAATTAGTTGATTATTAGCGAATTGCTGTGTTATGTCTGTCATCGTGTAGCCTATTTGAAGTTTTGGACGGAACTTGGCTCAGTGATTTGGA